CTGTGGCTGGGAGCCAGAGGTGGCTGGAGAACACACATTCACCAGAGAATTACAAGTGCAGTTGGGGGATTTTTCTGCTTTTTCAAGTGAGGCCATATTCTTCCAGCCTTTACACAGAGTAAAGTATCCTATAACCATTTATTAAAACAATGCACAAATCCAATAATATAATCACATGTAAGTTTAATGGGATGTACAACACATATTCACTATGAAGTTACAAGTGCACTGAAGATTCTTCTGCTTCTTCTTCTGCTTCTTCCCTAGAACCATCATACTATGAGTAGTTCATGACGCATATTTTCCACTAGCAGATTTACCCAGTGTTGCTCAGCTCCTTAAATCAATTAAGGTATCTTTTGGAGAGGGAAGAAATAAAAGGAAAATGTACATGCTTTATTTAAATAATTGTATTGTTTTCAAAAATACCATGTTATTTTTAGGAAGTTAATTCTTATTTTAGGTTTTGCTAAAAAGGGGATTATTAAAATTTGTCCATTTCATTTTTTTAGTGAAAAAAATTAACTTGATTTAGCCAAAAAAGAGCACCATTCCAAATTTCTCAATTTTCTCTCTTTTTTGTAAGGTTTATTGAGCAATAATCCTATTTCAAGTTCATCCTATTTTCCTGGCTCATCTTAGTTCAGTGTCTTTCAACATTCGCTCAGTTATGTCAGTTTTGAGGACTGTATTTGACTTGGCAATTCTGTCTCTTTTCTGTTTGGTTTTATGAGAAACAATCCCATTCCAGGCACATCCCATTGTCCTGGCACAACCAAACTGTTACCTTGCTTTAAGCTGTATACTGAATAGCTCTTATGATTTAGGAGGAGTTTTCAAATCTTAAGCATAGATGTAGCTGTGTAATAGCAGAGCACTCCTCCAAATTTCTGTTTTATCTCTGTTCTGTAAGGTTTATTGAGAAGAAATCCTATTTTAGCTCCATCTTATTTTTCTGGCTCGTCTTGGTTCAGTCCAAGAGTGCAAGTAATTTAGATTTCATATAGGTACTGTCATATTGTGATGCCTTTGGAGGGGCACAAGGCAGGAAGTTGGAGGGTGGTGGGTGGGATACATTTCTTACAGATATTGTTGTAAATGTGGGGTGGAGTGCAGGGAGCTCAAGACAAGGAAATGGGGAGAGACAGGGTGTATGGGAACTCAGGGCAGGGGTTGGAGATGTGGGGGTGCAGGAATCAGGCCCAGGCTTGGGAATGTGGGGGAGCTTAGGGCAGAAAGCTGTGGGTATGAGGATGCAGGAATCAGCGTTGGGGTGAGGAGGGGCTCTGGGCAAGGGGCCTCTGAAAAACCCCACTAGGTATGCACCTCCTAATTTGACAGTGAACCATTCGTAATTATTCTGACTATGTTTTTTCAATCTGTTGTGCACCTACTTTACAGTAATTTAATCTAGAACACATTTCCCTAGTTTGCTTATCAGAATGTCATGTGTTAGTGGTCAGGTGCCATACTGAAATCAAGACGTCTTGTCTTCTCCTTCTCCCAATTCACTAGGCCAGGAGCCCTGTCAAAGGAGGAAAAATAGATTGGCTTGGCCTGTCTTGTTCTTGAAAAATCCATGTTGTCTGTAACAGAGAAGGACAAACTGTGAGAGGCAAGGAGAAAAGGTTTCTCCCAAGATGCCAGGGGGAAGATATTGTGGGGGTGGTTGGGGAAGTGGCTCAGGGAAAGGCCCCTATATGGGGGGGATAAGGGCAAGAGCCCCACGACTAGCTGCTACCTTGGGTCCCTGGGCCAGAACCCAGAGTAAGTGATTGGGAGTGATGTGCAATGGGCTGCCACCGGGTGGGGGAGAGGGACTTTTGGAATGTGGAAGGGTTTTTCCCCTCCAAACTAGCGACTGGCCAGTGATGAAAAGGGTTCATTAAGCAGGGTACTTGCCTCTGAAAGAACCCTGAGTCTCTGAGGCATCTTAAAATCTGCTAGAAAGTGCAGGACTCAGGGGGCACTAGCAGAGCGCTGCCACATTATCAATTTATTTTCTTCTTGGTGCTTACAAATAGATTATTTACTCCATTATCTTTCTGAGTACTAAAGTTAGTGGACTGGTCAATAATCCCCTGCATTGTCCTTTCCCCCTTTTTAAAGATAGATACAGTGTTTGCCCTCTCAAGTTCTCTGGGACGCCAGCCATTCATTCTTGAAGATAATTGTCAGTTGTTCAGAGAATGATTCAGCTAGTTCCTTAAGTAATCGAGGGTTAATGTTGTCAGCCCCTGCCTCCTGGAATGCACCTAAATTATCTAAATATTTTTAACCTCTCCTTTCCCCTTTCCCCCTTTTTAAAGATAGATACAGTGTTTGCCCTCTCAAGTTCTCTGGGACGCCAGCCATTCATTCTTGAAGATAATTGTCAGTTGTTCAGAGAATGATTCAGCTAGTTCCTTAAGTAATCGAGGGTTAATGTTGTCAGCCCCTGCCTCCTGGAATGCACCTAAATTATCTAAATATTTTTAACCTCTCCTTTCCATTTTTTGGCTGGCACTCCTTCCCCCCATGTGATTTACTTTAAGCATCTGGTCACAAATAACCTTTTTTAGTCAAGGTTGTAGTAAAATGGGCATTAAAAACTTGAGCCTCCATGATGTCATCTGTTCTTAGCTCTTTTTCATCACTAAGTAGAGAATCTCCATTTCCTTCATCTTTCCCTTGATATGACTTGTTTATAGAACTTCTTTTCATTGCCTTTTATATCTTCCCATGCCAGGTGTGTCTCCCTTTGTTCCTCAGCCTTTCTGATTTTGTCCCAACATGCCTGTGCTATTCTTCTGTTTACTTTTTGCAGGTTTCCTTTTCGACTGTCAGATCTCTAGCTGAGAGTTGGTTCAGGGCCTGGCCCTTCCATGCCTTTTACAATCGGGAAGTGGGAGACTTTCCTTCCTGCACCAGGGGATGGAAGCCTTGGAGAATGGTGCCTTTACCTGCAATTGCTTGTTAGGTTGCTGATTCTCAGAAAGCAGGAGAAACAGTGCCGAGCTGAGTGTCACCTGCCAAAGCGAGTGGGTCAGCTCCAAAGTTGTCACTCACAGGCATTGCTGGGGAGGTTTCTTTAAGAGGACTTTGATCCTTGCAGGTTACTCAGCATGTGACAAGGATTCCTGCTCCAATAACGTCCCAGCAGTTTTGTTACTTTCATTTCTGAGACTGGTGGGAGCGGCAGAAACAGGCAGCGAGTCCATTCAGTGAAAAATGCAGCAAATCAACACCAAACAGAAATGAACTGGACAAAGTCAGGCTCCTGGCCTGTGGGACTCTGGTGCTGAATGGACAAAGCTACCTCAGCAAAGGGAGGTTTCACAGAGAAGAGGATCTCTCCTTAGGGGATGGCTGTGGATGGTAGGGAACCTGAGAGCTTTCCAGGAGCCCTGACAAGGTGTGGAAGTGCCTCTGCAGGATACAGCAGGTAAGAGGGGCTTCCATCCCAGGAACTACAGGCTAGTTTGATATTTTCTTGTCCACGCACTTACTCGGAGGAGCTACTAGTGTCACAGGACCCTTCTCCCAACGTTGTCAGGGATAAGCTGCTGCTCTCCTACTGCAGAACCACACACACACACGATGATTGGTGTGGGTTTGGTTTTGGTAACAGCATAGTGTGCTTAGCCCATTCCAATCACACAATGGGGCAGTCTCCGCTCCACAGAGCTGCTGACCTAACTCTGAGGGGAGGTTTTTCCCTTGGCTAGTCCATTGCACTTCAGCAGAGCCAGGGACTGCAACAGAGCTCGTTTGCTTTTGCTGTGTAATGTGAGCTGTAGTTAGTGAATAGCTTCCACACAGTGGCTACATCTACACTGGCCCCTTTTCCGGAAGGGGCATGTAAATTTCACCAGTCGTCGTAGGGAAATCCGCGGGGGATTTAAATACCCCCCGAGGCATTTAAATAAAAATGTCCGCCGCTTTTTTCCGGCTTTTAAAAAAGCCGGAAAAGAGCGTCTACACTGGCCCCTTTTCCGGAAGGGGCATGTAAATTTCACCAGTCGTCGTAGGGAAATCCGCGGGGGATTTAAATACCCCCCGAGGCATTTAAATAAAAATGTCCGCCGCTTTTTTCCGGCTTTTAAAAAAGCCGGAAAAGAGCGTCTACACTGGCCCCTTTTCCGGAAGGGGCATGTAAATTTCACCAGTCGTCGTAGGGAAATCCGCGGGGGATTTAAATACCCCCCGAGGCATTTAAATAAAAATGTCCGCCGCTTTTTTCCGGCTTTTAAAAAAGCCGGAAAAGAGCGTCTACACTGGCCCCGATCCTCCGGAAAAAGTGCCCTTTTCCGGAGGGTCTTATTCCTACTTTAAAGTAGGAATAAGACCCTCCGGAAAAGGGCACTTTTTCCGGAGGATCGGGGCCAGTGTAGACGAGCCCAGTATGTTTTTGGCAGTGGGGGGCTCCTTTCCCTTAACATGGCTGGCTTCATAAGAGGATTTAGGTACCTGCCACTCTCAATACTGTAATGTGTTTGCTCACTTTTTCCACATGGCTTTTTCCCTCAGGGTGGCTTTTGGGGGAAGTAGCTGGCTGTTCTGCCACTGATGCACCCCCTTTAGGTGTGGTATTGGTCTTCGGGGCACTGCCCTTCAGCAGTGACCACTCCATTCTTAGTCCATGCCCCCTTCCGGGGGGAGTCATTGCTGTTCTTTAGTTCAGGGTCCTCCCTAGGACCCCCAGTTCTTCTGCCCTGGGAACACCCAGTTCCCTCTACACCATCCTGACCATCCTGGCCTCAGTGATCCACTGCCAGTCCCTTAATAGCCCCTCCTGGCAGACCACAGTATCTCCAGGCCCCTCCTCCCTGGCCACGGGCGTGCCTCTGCCTGCCTGATTGCCTCCTGCAACACTGCCTCCTGGTCTTACGGCCTGGGGCTTCCCTGGCTTGAACTCCCTCAGCCTACCGCAGCTGCCTCCATGCTAGCCACAGCTGCCTCCTTTGCAGCCCAGCCTTTTAGGGATGCCTCCATGCTAGCCCCAGCCCTTCGTGACTGCCTCCTTGCAGCGCTGGGCCTCAGGCCGGGTAGCCTGGGTTCATCCTGCCATAGCCTCCCCAGTCTTGCCTTCTTCCAGGGAGCCTCTTGCTTTCCCAGCAGTCAGGACTCCACTGCTCTCCCTCCAGAGCAGCAGGCAGGTAGATCTCCCTCTCCTAGGAGCTGTTCTTATTACCTCCAGCTGGACCCTCCTCATTTGCTGCAGCTGGGCTTCCCCTGACTCCCTACTCTCAGCCCCTTAAAGGGCCAGAGCAGGGCAATGCCCTGCCACAGTACCTAAACCAAATCCCAGTCAGGACACACTGGGTTTCACAAAAACCTGCTCATCTGTGGCCAAACCCAGCAATGCATACAGACATGTATTTTTCTAAGCCTTTTCCCTACTTTGAGGGTCCTACGTGCTCAAAGGGTCACTCCTTATCCCAACATAGGGGTAAAGACACCCCAAATCTACAGTCAAGTCAGCTGACATGGAGCACGGTGGGTTCAGAGCACTCCTCATTCTCTGAAAGATGAATGGGAAGGGGTAGTGGCAGATTCCCATCTCAGGCTATGTCTAGACTGCATTGCTTTTCCAGGATACTGGAGTTATCCTGGAAAAGCCATGCCGCATCCAAGGAATGTGTCTGCTTTTTCAAAAAAGCGGACATGCTCATTCACCATCACTGTAAACCTTGTTCTAAGAGGAATAAGGGATGTTTTGAAAGAGCACTTTCTTTTTCACTTTGGTGCCATGTAGACGTGCCAAATTTTGAAAGACTCTTTTGAAAGTAAATCGGAAAAAGATACGCAAATTGCATCTCGCATTTCGTGTATCTTTTTCTGCTGTAACAAAGCAGTGTAGACCTAGTCTGTTTCAGCCCTCAGAGTGTTAGGAGAACAAAGAAGCCCATGAACACCCCCTCCTCCTTCTGCATCCTGCTAGAGTCACCCAAAAGAGAAGACCTGAGGGAGGATGTGAAACTGCTCTGAATTATAGAATTCTAGAACACTAGAACTAGAAGGGACTGAGGGGGCATCAAGTCCAGTCCCCTGCCCTCACAGCAGGACTAAGCAACATCTAAATCATACCTGACAGATGTCTGTCCAACCTGCTCTTAAATATCTCTAGTGATAGAGATTCCACCATCCCCCTAGGCGATTTATTCCAGTGTTTAACCACACTGACAGGTGAAAAAAATTTCCTAATGTCCAACCTCAACCTCCCTTGCTGAAGTTTAAGCCCATTACTTCTTGTCCTGTCCTCAGATGCCAAGGAGGGCAATTTTTCTCCCTCCTCCTTGTGACAGCCTTTCAGATACCTGAAAACCGCTCTCATGTCCCCTCTCAATCTTCTCTTTTCTAAACTAAACAAGCCCAATTCTTTCAATCTTCCTTCATAGCTCATGTTCTCTAGACCTTTCATCATTCTTGTTGCTCTTCTCTGGACCCTTTCCAATTTCTCCACATCTTTCTTGAAATGTGATACCTAGAACTGGACACAAGACTCCAATTGAGGCCTAACCAGTGCAGAGTAGAGCGGAAGAATGACTTCTCTTGTCTTGCTCACAACACTCTTGCTAATGCATCCCAGAATCATGTTTGCTTTTTTTGCAACAGCATCTCACAATTGGCTTATATTTAGCTTGTGGTGCACTCTGACCCCTAGATCCTTTTCTGCAGGACTCTTTCCTAGACCGTCGCTTCCCATTCTGTGTGTGTGAGACTGATTGTTCCTTCCTAAGTGGTGTATTTTACATTTGTCCTTATTAAACTTTATCCTATTGACCTCTGATCATTTCTCCAATTTGTCCAGATCATTTTAAATTAAGACCCATCCTCCAAAGCACTCGCAACCCCTCCCAGCTTGGGATCATCTGAAAACTTAATAAGCGTCCTCACCATGCCAATATTTACATCACTGATAAAGAATTGAACAGAACCAATCCAAAACAGATCCCTACAGAACCCTTCCAGCAGGACTGTAAACCATTGATAACTACTCTTTGGGAATGGTTATCAGTTGTCAGCAAGTAGATGGTAGTGGGTGGAGGAGCTGAGCTGGGCCAGGAAGGAAGGGAGCATGGCAGTGAGGCAGGGCAGGATGGGTTATTTACATCACTGATAAAGAATTGAACAGAACCAATCCAAAACAGATCCCTACAGAACCCTTCCAGCAGGACTGTAAACCATTGATAACTACTCTTTGGGAATGGTTATCAGTTGTCAGCAAGTAGATGGTAGTGGGTGGAGGAGCTGAGCTGGGCCAGGAAGGAAGGGAGCATGGCAGTGAGGCAGGGCAGGATGGGTTATGTCTGCACAGGCTGGGGGGGACTGGTCCAGGCCAGCAGCCGAGGGGCTTTGCCTGTGGGGCAGATGAGCAGATAGGGTTGTGTGGAGCAATCAGGTTTTGTCGAGGGGCTGTGCCCCTTGACACACTGGGGTCAGTGGGGCATCATTTTATAATCCTAAGGGCGGCCCTGGTTAGGAGAGAGGCACCTTAGAGCAATTCCCTAAGCAGCCTGCTGCTGGGACAAGTTGTCATGTCTCAGAGCCTAAGGCCCACCATGTGCTGGCCCTGTGTTTCTGCCACAGTGAGATGGGAAGTGAAGATCAGCAAGGGATGCTAAAATGTGGTTAATTGACTAGTTGATAGGCACTTCCGCATTCCTCTTTTGAAATGTACAAGAGTCCCCCTCCCCCCCCAGGGCTCTTGCTCATTTCAAAGAAGGCCTGTGGAACTCATTGTGACTCTGGGCTGCATGCAGGTGCCTGCTTTGAAATGCACAAGAGTCCCCAGCAGGGGCCATGGAGTCTGGGATCAGCGGGAGACTCAGAGTCCTATGCTGACCCCGAGCTCTATGCTGTGCCAGAGCCCGAGATCATCTGGGGAGTCCCCAGCTGACCCCTGGCTCCACAGCAGCTGCCCCTTTGAAATGCATGGAGGCAGCCACTTTGAAGTTCCCCTTCTTCCTCCTCCCCATTTGCTGCCTCTATCTGATGAGGGAATTTACTAGTCGACTAGTCGACTGACTATCTGATAAGCATTTGCTTATTGGATAGTTGACTAGCTGATTAGTCTTTAGCATCCCTAGGCTCAGTGCCAGAGACAGGAGCTGAATTTTATATCTTTGCTGGTCTTTTCTCTCCCCTTCTTTGGGTGTTTGTCTTGTTTTGACTTCAACCAACACTGGGCTTTATTGACACGAGCAAGAAGAACAAATTCAGCTCTTCAAGCAGGTGACACAGAATCTTTTATTAAACCAATATCTGTCAGCAAGAGAGACAAGCTTTTGAGCCACACAGAACTGTTCTTCAGGTTCTTATTACAATAATGTATTGCCGCCTAAAAGACTGTCAAGTAACAGGGCTTTTCCTTCTAAAATCTCTCCAGCTAGAGAGAAGGGAAATGGGGATGTTGCTAAATGAAAGTCTAATTTAGTATTTTATATTAAAATGCTTTAACTGTTTTTCCTTCTTTTTTGAGGTCTTCAATAAAAGATTGAAAACTTGTGTTATGGAGCATTTGCCATGGTGCTAAGCAGGTCTCTGTACCCCAAAGGCCCTTTTTAACATTGAATTGATAGATAGTGACGGGCTTATGTTAATACCTTTGGCTCTTTGGTACATAGGTACATTGGCACAGCAAAAAGACTTGCAGCAGTAAGTCTCTGAGGCTCTGTCTAGACTGCAGGCTTCTTTCAGAAGAAGTTTTTTTCAGAAGAGATCTTCCAAAAAAACTTTCAAAAGAGAGTGTCCACACTGCCAAAGCACGTCAAAAAAGCCACCTGCTTTTTTGAAAGATGGTATCCACATAGATTGGATGCTATCTCGCATTTCAGTTGTGATTACCATGGACAAAGTGGCCACTGGGGAACCTGTGCTTTTTCTTGGAGGCCTCTTCTTTCAAAAAAACACTCTCTTCCATGTCCACCCACACCTTTTTACAAAAAAGCTTTTTCGGAAAAAGGCTACTTCCTTGTAGAAAGAAGTTTACCACCATCAGAAAAACCCCTGTGTTCTTTCGACCTTCTGTTGAAAGAACGCAATTGCAATTGTGGACGTAAGTATTGTTTTTCTGGAAAAACACTGAAGTGTAGACGTACCCTGAGTCTGGGTCAACAGAAAGTGAAGACATACCCTATACTGCAGTGGAATTAATACAACACTCTTCTTCCAGAAGAGGATTGCCATGTTGCTATTGAACCAGTGCACTGCCAAAGTGGGCTAAAAGAAACAAGCCACTCCTGCACCAGAATTAGTGTGTCCACATATGGATTTATTTCCCAGGACTGCTGTAGCACAGTGCAGCTCCAAGGGGCAAGCGCCAGTACAGACGAGCTGCTCTTAGCCCCAGTGATGTTTGACCCTGCTCAGAGCTAGTGTAAACTAGAGCTCTGGGGAGAATCCCTTCCCAATTCCATGCATTGCACACCAGCATGATTCTGGTACCAGTCACTTAACGTCTGATTTAGTTTCTTTCTTCTGTGCCCAGACCCAGCGACGATGACGGGGAAGATTCCCTCATTCTCCCCTGGCTCTGTAACGAGCTCTTCTCTGCCCGGATACCTCACGCTCTGCCTTGCTCTGCAAGTTCACAGACTGGCCTCAGGTAGGAGTATGGCCTCCTCACTGGGTTTGCTGCCTGTTCTCACACAAAACACTCACAGCCAGAAGCCTGTGTTTCTACTGGTGATGCACATCTGCACATGCCTTGTGCACATCATAAAATTTATTCTGCATATGGTTGTGAAACTTTAGTATTTTTATGTCTGGTTTTGTAAGCAAGTTGTTTTCAAGTGAGGTGACACCTGAGAATAGGCAAGACAAATCAGACTCCTGACAGAGGTACTGGAATGGTTAAGAGCCACCCATCTATCTGGTTTTTACATCGCAGTGCAAGGTGTGGCTGGACTGACCAGTGGAGACATTTGCTGGAGCAGCTGGATGGAGCAGTGGCTGTGCTGGAAGGAGATCTAGGTCTGAGCTTCCATGTGATGAAAGGAGTGAAATCTGTGTGTGTGCTTTGAGGAATCCTGCATCCCTCACTTCAGCACTGAGCTGTGAGGTTGCATCAGTAGCAGGACTGGAAGGGCAGGGGCTGGGACGGGGGGACACTCAGTGCTGAGGACAGAACACGGGTGGGGGATCCCGTTCAGAGTAGCTCCCCTAAAAACTAGCTTTCCCTTAGCAAGGAGAAGGTGTGTTGTTCTGTGATACCGTGGTCATGTGCCCTGATCCCGGCGTGATGTGCACAATCTGCACAGGCAGAGTACAGGTTTGTGTGTGGTGAGTGTATTGGAACAGCTCTCAAAGAGGTCAGAGTTAAGACCTGTACCTTAACTTTGCATTTGCTGGTGTTCAGAGCCCTGAGTTTTGCTGAACTGCTTTCTGGAAGGACCTGAGGGCTTGTGTCAGCTACACAGTGGATTGACACTGCAGTGACTGATCCCTCAGCAAATGATTTCTTTAGATGCAATAAATCTATCTCCAAACACTCTCCCATTGACTCTGGCACTCCATGAGGGTGAGAAGAGTGGGAGAAGTTGACAGGAAAGCATCTGCACCAATTTTACCGCATAGAGACACCACGGTTAGTAGGTCTAAGTATGTTGACTTCAGTTAACGTCGTTCACGTAGCTGAAGTTGTATATTTTAGATTGATGGGGGTGTAGTGTAGACCAGGCCTCAGATACCTCCTAGAACCATAGATCTGTATTAACAAAGACTTTTTCAGTGACTTTCTTAGTGTCTGGATCAAAATGAGCACTCTTTGTAGCAGACAGTATCAGTTATACATGTGTAGTTCTCATTTAGATTTGTAGTTGAAACATGACTGTGGCACACTACCAACCCCAAGTCCTAGGGTTGGTATAGCGCTTCTGTGATGGACCGGGCCGTGTCTGGGCACAGCTGAGGGCGTCCGCTCAGGGCGAATTGCTCGAACCCGGGGCTCCTTACAGCTCCCTGACTGGTGACCTCTCCAAATAGGCCACACACCAGTCTCACAGAGCGCTTCAGCTGCCTGCCTGAAGCCTCCCGAGCAAAACTCCTCCGACACCCCAGCAATATCCGTGCCCCAGATGGCCCCGGGCCTCATACACAGGTGGGGGGTCCTAACACCCAATCCCACCTACCCCGAACAAGTTCTGTCCGGTTCCAAGAACCCAGCCACAGATCCC